GTGGGGCAAGCTCTTTAAAGGTATTACTGGCTGCCTAATGCAGCTGTAAAGAGTTTTATAGGTGATAAACTGAGAACGAGAAATTTGTCTATTGGGTGATTTGTTTCTTTTGGCATGTTTATGTGCCCCACCTATTTTATATAAATATTTTGTCTGAAATAAATGCACTGTTGTGCTTTATAGGACAAAGTGTGCAATTTGGCATTTTTATCAAAACTCATCCCTACCTACGTTGCATTTAGGCTCTTGGTCAAATAATTTCTCATCTTATCTACTTGTTTTACAGAAAGCTGATGCTTTATGCAAGCTATTCTGAATGGAAAAGCTCTTGTCCACTAGAAAAAAATAGTAAAGGAGGAGGAAAAAATGGTGTACTAGCATGCAGAAATACTGGGTAATTGATCTGTAGAGAACCAGTTTGGTGTAGCAATGAATGCACTAAGCTAGAAACTGGGAGACTGAGTTTTAGTCCCCCCCTCAGGCACAAAGTCAGTTGGTTGCCACTGGGTCCATCACTCACTCTGAACATTGTATTTATTGAAATAACACTTTTCAGATTAATTATCACTCTTGGCATTTCAAGTCAGAAATAATTTTTGGTCTGAAAGAGAAAGACTGTCCAGTAATTCATTGTAAACTTATAGGAGTCCTCTTGGTTTAAAAGTGAAAATAGTAGTAAATGCAGTTTTCTATCATAGGAGTGGGATATGTAAGTAATGATAGCTAGTGTGCTGCAGTGGTTAAGATACCAGGCATGAAACTGAGGGACTCTGAGTTCTTGTCCTGCCTTAGGCACAAAGCCAGCTGGGTGACCTTGGGCCAGTTTCTCTTAACCTTTGGAAAGAGGCAAGGGCAAACTTCTGAAAATCTTAACAAAACTCTGGGGATTTGTCCAGACGGTTGCCAGGCATAAAAATCTGATTTACAGACACACATATGCATATTAAAACAACTAGGAGAGAAGCAATCTAGAACTAAGGAGAAACTTCCTGACAGTGGAACAATCTGCTTCCAGAAGCGGTGAATGCACCAACACTGGAAGTTTTTAAGAAGAGACTGGACAGCCATTTGTCCGAAATGGTATAGGGTTTCCTGCCTGAGCAAGGGGTTGGACTTGATGACCTCCAAGGTCCCTTCCAACTTTACTATTATTATTATTATTATTATTATTATTATTATTATTATTATTATTATTATTATTATTATTATTATTATTATTATTATTATTATTATTATTATTATTACCACCCTATAGGAAGTAGCAATATATACCTGATTTTGGCTAACCTTTAAAATATAAGAAGAGTTGGACCTGTGAATACTGCATTGGAGATTAACAAGAAATTCTAAAGGTGTAGCCTACAGAAGAATAGGAAAAAATATTTGAAAAGATCATACCAAGCCATTTCCATATTCCAATAAAGCCAGTGACTCCTCAGCTCAGTATTTATCTCAATCATTTACAAGCCAAGTATAACATTACATGTGAAACAAGTAACCAATAGCAACTCCAAAATCTTCATAAATCAAATATTGATCAAATTTGGGAAATTACACTTCTAGGCAGCAAGTGAGTTTCTCTGGGGAGATAATTTCAAAATGTTCAAAATATTAAGGTGATAATTTGTGGTCTACACAATTAGTTTGTGAGAACAATCGCTTTAAAATGAGATGAGTGGCAAATTTTATAAATCTACTACTATGTAACATTAAAGTATTAGGGCACCATGTATCATGAGGCATCAAAATATCTTAAAATAGGAAATATTAAAAATCCTAAAACGTAAGTCAAGAATGTTAAAATGTGAGATTTGGGGTTTTTTTGTGATGACTTATTTTTACATTTTTTATTTTGTAAATAAAATGCCAATGCCATTTTAAAATGTCAGATACTGTATGTAATGATGACTGCAGGTATTGCATTATCAATTCCTAGTTTATATAAGGTATTAAAAAAGAACTTTAATGAAGGCGAATGTTGGAGACATTATCTTCAAATTTTGAGAATTTATGACCTATTTTAGATTAGAGATTTTATTATTGCTTACAGACTGCCTGTGTGGATGTACTTAAGCAAACAAGGCATTTTCATACATGACTAATTCAGGTAAGTAATTTACTCAATGTTCTTGTAACAAAGGAAGTAAAAGCTGCCTTAGTTGTACTTAAGCAATGTTTACAGTATTTCCTTTTTCTGTTTACATACTACTAAAATTGTACAGATAATTCTTGTGTTACGGCAACTGAGCCCAACATTTCTGTTGCTAAGTGAGACAGTTGTTAAGTGAGTTTTGTCCTATTTCATAACCTTTCTTGCCAAGGTTGTTAAGTGAATCACTGCAAATGTTAAGTTAGTAACATTGTTGTTAAGTGAATCTGGCTTCCCGATTGACTTTGCTAGTCAGAAGGTCACAAAAAGTGATCACATGACCCTGGGATTTTGTGACCATCATAAATATGAGCCAGTTGCCAAGTGTCCAAATTTTTACCATGTGACCACAGGGATACTATAACAGTAATAAGTGTGAAAAATGATCATAAGTCACTTTTTTCAGTACTGTTGTAACTTTGGTCACTAAATAAAAAGTTGTAAGTCAAGGATTGGTAAAAATGATGTGTCATAGAGCAAAACCTTTTCAACCAAGATACCTCAAATAAGGTACCTTACAGCAGGTGTCCCCAACCTGTGGGCTGGGGCCCGGTGGTGGGCCGTGGCCCATTGGCTACCGGGTCGTGAGACAGGCTGGCCAGTGCGCGCACACACACCAACTCGCACTAGCTTCTCAGTTATGGGTTGCGAAAAAGGATGCTGCACCTTGGAGCGCAAAAACGGGACGCTGCACTGCGATGTGCAAAACAGGCCACCGCTGTGCCTCCGTGTGAAAATGGGATGCTGTGGCACTTCGGGGGGAAAAATCGGATGCTGCCACACTTCAGGGTGCAAAAACAGGCTGTTGCCGCACCTCGGGGCATGAAATTGAGATGCTGCCATGCCTTAGGGTGCAAAAACGGGATGCCATCGTGCCTCGGGGTGCAAAAATGGGATGACGTGTCACGAGATGCAAAAAGGGATGCTGCCGTGCCACATGAAAATGGGCTGCCGCGCCTCGGGGTGCAAAAACGGGACACCACACCTCAGTGCACGGAAACTGCTGCGCTTAACATTTTTTAAAATTATGACTGTTTGATGTGTTTATTGTTTTTATACCTTTTTGATGTACACTATCCAGAGTTACTTCTTGTAAGATGGATGGCCATATAAATTTGATAAATGACAAAGGTAGCTAAGATGTTTTCCAATAAGTATTTCTGATATAGACAGAGCCACCAATACAGAAGCTTCCTGTATTGATCACTTTATTTGTATCCTATCTTTATTATTTTTACAAATAACTCAAGGCAGAAAACATATCCAACACACCTTCCTGCTCCTATTTTCCCCACAACAACCCTGTGAGACCGGTTGGGAAAGAGTGCTACTGCATATGAATGGTTCAAACCAATCATACCACTACCTGGCTTCATGTGTTTTGTGTACATGATAAGTACAAAAGAAAAAGGCAAATTACAAGTCACAGGGCATAGTGGTTAAAGCACCAGGCTAGAAACCAGGAGATTGTGAGTCCAAGTCTCACCTTAGGCATGAAAGTCAGTCACTCCCTCTCAGCCCAACTCATCTCACAGGGTGGTTGTTTAGGAGAAAACAGGAGGAAGAAAAAGTATTAGATATGTTTGTTGCCCTGAGTTATTTATAAAATAAATTTCCGTTCAATTTTTTTTTATTTTTTATCGTAAGAGTTGCTAGACCTACAAACGAATGGTACGATGGACCAACGGTGGGTGACTAGTATAAACGTACTGTGTGCTGGTGTTTGAACGATCGGTGCAAAGTCTGTACATGCAATACGTTAGGTATGCGACATTAATTTCCGAACCCACGACTTCTTTGACATTTAATATGCATGGGTTAATTCTAAAACCTATAGTTAAATTAAACACAGCTAGTCATATTGGAAATAAAGCCATTTCATTCATATTCCATAACTGCCCATCTCAACCAAGTGACTCTACAGTAAAGCCAAGAAAGGGGCCTCTTAACCCATTCAGAGCCCCGGGCCACGGTTTTAAAGCCAGGTTTTTTAGAGCCTTGCAAAAGACCGACAGGATTGGGACATTTTGATCTCCAAGGGAAAAATATTCCACCGAGAATATTTTATTCCGCCTTTTGATGTGTAACTCAAAGGCAGCGTTAACATACTTAATGCTTCCGCCCTATTTTCCCTACAGCAACAACCTGTGAGGTGGGTTAGGCTGAGGGAAGGACTGGCTCAAAGTTCCCTAGCCGCCTTTCATGCTTAAGTGAGGCCTTAGAAGTCACGATCTTCTGGCTTCTAGACCAGCATCTTCGCCACTGCATAAAGCTGGATCACACTAATCGATCTGTTAGTTCTCGATCCCGTAATCTTGGGCTGGTTCGCGCTTTCGCCAATTAGGAGTCGTGCCGAATTAACTCAGAGAATGAAAAGGAGGCAATTGGAGGCCGGGGCAGTAGCTTCCTAAGCACGGCCCGAAAGAACGAATCCGGCTTCCGTTACTTCAGTGTTTCTCAACCTTGACAATTTTAAGGCATGTGGACTTCAATTCCCAGAATTCCACAGCCAGCAATGCTGGCTGTGGAATTCTGGGAGTTGAAGTCCACATGCCTTAAAATTGACAAGGTTGAGAAACACTGCGTTACTTGGAGCCGCAGACCGCCGCCCTCGAAGTCTCCCAGGTTACACAACGGGACAGGAGCGTCGCCTCCGCTCCGACTGGGGGGGGGGGGTTAGCTTCCGCGTGACGTCAGCCACCTTACGTTCTCAAACCAAGCAACGTCGCGCCTGCGCAGTGGTAGCCTTCGGTGCGCGCTCCGGCGAAGGAGGCATTTCCGTGGTCGAGGATGGCCGGCCGGCCGGCAGGGCGCGTAGTCATGGCGGCCGAAGTCGGCTTAGAGGGCGGAGGAGCCCCTACCGGCTTAAGGCCGGACGCCGCGATGCAGCGCACGGAGCTTATGCCGCTTTTGGAAACGGCTCTGCGGCCGGGAGAGTCCTGGTGAGCGTGCAGCCGGGTTGGGGGCGGCGGCGGCGGCAAGACGGACGGGAGAAGGAGGCCGCGGTGGCGGCTCGTTCCGGGCCCGTCCTCTGGGGTCAGGTTGAGGGCAAGGCCGTCTCACCGTACCCCCCGCCCGCCCGCCCTCCGATATTGGGCCGCTGAAGGAGGCCGTGTGAGGCGGGCGCTGGTTTGGAGCGCTCGGTTTCTCGGTCCCGGAAAGGTTTCGTTCATTGCTGAGTCACTGCTGTGCCTCGTTCGCTCCCGCAGGTTTTTTTTTTTTTTCCATCTTCTCTCCATCTCCGCCTTTGCTTTTTTTTTTTTTTAATACTTTTGCTTTTATGGCAGGTATTTGATTGACAGTCGGTGGTTCAAGCAGTGGAAGAAATACGTGGGCTTTGAAAGTTGGGATCTGTACAACGTTGGAGAGCCCAACCTCTTCCCAGGACCAATTGACAACTCCGGACTTTTTACTGGTAAGAATTACCCAGAACTGACTTTGGTGATCCTATGTCAGTTTTGAGTGCATTAGATCCTCCTGCAACACACACTAGTTCAGTGGTTCTCAACCTTTTTAATGCCGCGACCCCAACTGGTCGTAAGTCGAGGACTAAACCGGTCGTAAGTCGAGGACTACCCAACCGGTCGTAAGTCGAGGACTTTCCCTGCCCGGGAGCGCCGCGCATGTGTGGCTCCGCCCCCTGCGCCGGCCGAGGCGTAGCTGGCAAGCGGCAGAGACGGAGCAGGCCGACCACCAGCTGGCCCAGCCCAAGGGAGGTAAGGCACCCGCCGGAAAAGGGGGAAAAAATGGCAGACAAAAAAAATGGCGGACAGCCTTGCTTGGCGACCCCCGTGAAATGGTCGATTGACCCCAAATGGGGTCCCGATCCACAGGTTGAGAACCACTGCACTCGTTAAAATGTTCTGACATTTGAGAAAAGGTTGCTGCCCCCTGTGATTTTTTTTTTTTAATGTTGCTATGGTCAAAAACACACTTTGAGTAAGAGGCAATTATAATTATAGCTGGCCTTGAAAAAGCTCTGAAAGATTTATCGATCTTAACATTTTATCGATGGCTTCCCATATAACTTTTCTTTCTTACCATTTCATTAGTTATGCATAGAACTCAAAACTGAATTTTTGATACCTTTTATCTTTGTGTAGCTTTATTAGCTGTCTTAGTTTTTATAATTGCTTGAAAAAAGGCAAATCTCTCTTCATATCTGCTTTTTTTGGTATTATTTTTCACTTCAAAGTAGTGGGACATGAAGTGAATTTATAAATCTGAATTCTCCCACTATAAATACAGTTCTGACATAGAAATATCCAAAGTATATTATGGATCCAATAGAAAATACCAATTTATTACAGGTAGTCCTCGACTTATGACCGCAATTGAGCCCAAAATTTCAATTGATAAGGCAGTTGTCAAGTGAGTTTTGCCCCATTTTATGACTTTTTTTGTCACAGCTGTTAAGCGAGTCACTGCATTTGTTAAGTGAATCTGGCTTCCCCCATTGACTTTGCTTTGTTGGAAGCCAGCTGAGAAGATTATAAATGGTGATCATATGATACTGGGACAGTGCAGCTGTCATAAATACATACACCAGTTGCCAAGTGCCTGAATTTTGATCATGTGACTATAGGAATGCTTCAGTGTGAAAACTGATGATAAGTCATTTTTTTCAGTGCTGCTGTAACTTCAGACTGTCACTAAACAAATGGTTATAAGTCGAGGACTACCTGTATAGGTTAAAAGTAATATAGTAATCCTCACTTAACCCTAATCGGAACTGAAATTTCTATCATTAAGCAAGCAGTCATTAGGCAGCAGCTGTCATTTTTGCCCAGGGAATCATCACTTGCACCACTGCCCTGCCTTTTCTGCGGGTTCCATCCTATTATCCTCACCCTGGCTGTTGGGGGGAATTAAATGTTCTGCTGATTTTTTTTTTTCATTGTGCTCTGCAAATGTAGTTTGTGTCAAGATTTATCTTGATATAGTGAATGAAATAGCCCATATAGAAATATTTAAATGTTTGAGATGGACATTCAATGTATTGGTTAAATGTTATTCAGAATTTTATAGAAAGTTGATGAACTTCCTTTATAGTCCTATGTCTCCTTTCTTTTTTTTAGATTCAGAAACACAAACTTTGAAAGAGCACCTCATTGATGAGTTGGATTATGTACTGGTTCCTACTGAAGCTTGGGATAAACTAGCAAATTGGTATGGTTGTATGGAGGGACAGAAGCCAATTGTGAGAAAAGTAAGTAATCAGGTTCCTTGTATCTCCTAGATATTTAGAAGATTGTAGAGAAGGCCTTTTTTGCATATTCACAAAAAGCGTATAAATTTCCTCCAACTTTGTCAGAGAAAATGCACTTTTAAATTATAAATAGCGTAACTGATGACATTTAATGTGAATGTAAATTGTAGTGTATTACATTTGGACATAAAATTGAAGAACTGAAATGCCTATTTCCACCTAGTAGCTAATATAAAAGGTATCAAAATATTAATCTTCAGTGCCTATAACTTGTATATTAGTTATTAATCTAAACTTCAGAATCAGCATGGCAAGGTCCATTACATACTTACTTCCATGAGTAATGGATGAAGCAGAGTAAACACATTCATGTAAGGTAGTAGAATGCTTTTTTATCAAAAGATGAAGAAAAGCGTTTCTTTAAGAATATCATGTCCTGTATGTAGAGAGATGGTACTGGGGAAGGAAATAATAGAAGTGAAAGTTTCATAAACACCTGTGACAAAAAGTTACTCTGATTTTAAACTGCCTGATTATACAGATTATAAGATTCACTGTATTGATGCCATTGCATTTCAAGGCTTGTTTTATTTTAAAACCCTAATTCTGAATCCTTTTATAAAGAAGTGTTTTAATGGACTGAAGAGTCAGCTGACTAAATGTGATAATTGGATCAAAATTGATTGGTTTTTTTAGAATTTTATTAACTCTGTCCCAATATTTGAATGTTCATTCATTATAATCATATGTTTGACATCTGTGTATGAAAAGGAAAGGAAATTTGAGGAATGTGGGAACATATTGGTTTTAATTTGTTGCTTCTTGATCCTAAAGAGGGTTTAATAAAATGGCAAAATGCAAAGTAAACATTGGAGGAACTAGGGATATTTAGAGGAAACTTTGAAGAACAAGTAAAGAATAATACGAATATATAAAAATTAAATAGAAATCCAGTTGAAATGCCTTCAGTTGCAACATAATATGGAAAAAAGTAGATGTTCCTCTAATGAGTCTTCTGCTCATAGGATTTTGCACCATAGGCAGCCCAAGAGAATGGGTACTCCCTTAAATTGTAACTTAGGGGGCTAATATCTTTACCTCTGATATCATTATTTTTTTTCTTTGCATTGTCTTGGTTCATAGTATTGCTATTCTAATTTAGTGGTTTGACTAATGCGGAAATTTTGATGAAAATATTTCAATTCTGCCATCATATAGAGTGTACCAAGAGACAGAGAAGATGTTTTGTGTATTTGGCATTCACACTGATTATTTCTCCCTTCCACTACTTGTCTCTTGTTTTCCACTATACAGAGTCTTCATTCTAACTTTGGACATTTTGTCTAGTCTGGTATTTAGGCAGGGTGCTTCCTATTTTTATTTTTTTTTGGTATGTATCTTTTCTTCCTTGTTCTCAGCTGGCATAGTTGGACATGATGATGGTCACAGTAGCATTGTCAAATTACAGACCTAAGGCATGCAGATATTAGGTGCTGTTTCTTTCTGTTGCAGTTCCTTTGTCTGCTTTTAAAACAAATCCAATATCACAATTCTGATGTTGAGGAATGTTGCACTGTAGCATCCCCAATGACATGTGGAATATGCAAAGTAAATTTTATTCCTGATACCACCCATACAGTATTTCATTGTTTCCAAGAGTGTATCTCTATTTTTGTTCAAGTATGTGCAGAATAAGAAGCTAGGTTGTGTTTTGACTTCTGATTCAGGGTTGGAAAGAAAGTAGTAATTCAGAGTCTCTGAAGCTTAAACAAATGGGAACTCCTTTTATTTGTTCATCTCATTCCACTGGCATGTCCTCTAAAAGGCTCAGGATGACTGCTCTTTTGGTCTTGCTAGGTTGCATGCATATCTATTCACAGAGAATACTTCCCTTGGAGAGCTAACAATCTCCTTTACACACACATAAATCCAGCCATCAGAAGAAGGATGAAGCTTCCTCAGGGTTTCAAGGAGAGGTGTTTTGCAAGTTCGCCTTCAAAGGTTTTATACTGCCCATATAGATTCAGTGACTATAATTAGGCGTTGTACTTACAATTTAACAAAAGTGCTATAAAAAGTGCCATAAGGATGACACGGCCAGCTATATAAATTAAATTTAAAAACTTTCAAACATAAAACGTAGCTCAAGATTGTTGAGGCATCAGGTCTTCGTTCTCAACTGGAATATTTTCCAACTTTTCCCTGAGCAGGTCAGGAAAAATAAGAATGTTTCTGTTTAGGGCAGCATGCACAAAACATTTCAAATTGAGCAGTTTCAAATGTGAACCATGTTACTTCAGATGCAAAAATTTCCTTTATGTAATCGTAGTGGGACAGTTTGCATTTGAAGCAATTCAGAGTGTGGATGTGGATAAGAAGCAATCAATGCACGTGTGGGGTTTAAAATGTTTTGTATACTACTTGTTCTTTTTCATTGCTTATGTCTTGCACTTTGAGTCTGTGTTGCCACTTTCCAAATTTTTGACATAAACATAAAATGATAATATAAATATTAATATTTTGACATAAGTTTTAGACTCAGTTGATTTATTTATAAGCACAACTATAATAATTTTGACTATAGATAAAGCCTATGATCTCATTCTTTTTGAAACATACCTTTCTAAGTGATGTTTTTCTAATAGGTTGTGGAGTATGGATTGTTTGTTAAACACTGTAAAGTAGAGGTTTATCTTTTGGAGTTGAAGCTGTGTCAGAACAGTGATCCTACAAATCTTGTGAACTCTTATTTCAGCAAGACAGATATGATTGGTGAGTATGATACATGATATTAAGATGTAAAGTTTAAGAATTAAATTGGACAATTATATTTTTCTGAAAGTCTTATTTTATTTCATTTTATTTCGATTCGATTCAGTTTTATTATTTTATTTGGCACCTGCAGTTTTCTTGACAAAATTTTTGGGAAGTTGTTTCCCTTGCCTTTTCCCTAGGGCTAGTAGAGAGTGACTGGCTCAAAGTCACCCAACTGATTTCATATCTAAGGCAAGACTAGATAGAACTCATGGTCTTTCAGTTTCTAGCCCAGTGCTTTAATTACTGCACCAAATTATCTGTCTGTTTTTAATTGACTGCATTAAATATACATAATTCTCTTGATTATGTTTTTTAAAACTCATTTTTGAATTTATAAAGTAAATTTATGAAGTAAAGGCATTTTGGATTAAGATATGGTGGAATATTCAAAATATTTTTAAGAAAAAGATAAAGTTTAAACCGCAGATATTTTTGCTGGGTATTATGGAAGATTTGGATACAAAAGAAACAGATTTGATGTTGAATTTGATAATTGCTGCAAGATTACTAGTAGCTCAATGTTGGAAAACGGAACGTTTGCCCACTATAGAAGAATGGTCACTTAAAGTCTCAAATTTAGCAGAAATGGCCAAGATTTCCGCTTATGTGAAGGACTATTCACAAGAAAGATATATCTCGGTTTGGAGAAGATGGCTAGATTATATTGAGAGTAAATATGGTACTAAAAAATTTCATTTGGTTTTTGAGTAAATTTTAGAGTATTAATGTAGTTTATATGTTATAATAGGTTACTTATTTTTATTTATAATTATTAATATGATGTTATAATTATTGTGTTTAATATTAGTATATTTGTTTAAAAGAGAGTTAAAGGATGTTACAGATTTGTTATTCTAATAGTTGATTAATGTTAGATAGAATATGGTTATTGTATTGTTAACCCTGTGATTGGCTCTGGGAAGTGGGGGGGGGNTCTGGGAAGTGGGGGGGAGGGAGGGGGGAGTGGAAGGGTGGGTTTTGGGGAGGGGGGAAATTACATTGTAAAACTTTTATAAAATTTTCAATAAAAAAAAATATTCCATATAATATTTTTCCTTTTAAACATCTATACTGAGCTTTGTATTTGCGCTTTTTCACATAAAAATCCTATTTCTAGATAATTATAGTAGCATTTGAATATACTATAGTATATGTGTGTGTGTGCGCGTGTGCCCACATACACATACCCTAAGTGCAAATAGGACAGTATGAGAATTATCCAAGCCAGTTTGTACATGCTGAATCAGGAATGTATTCATTAGTTTAAAAAAAAATCCAGAAGAAACACGCCTTCTAGAATAAGCCAATTTATGTACTTTTAATAAGCCATTGCAGCCTTCCATGTAATTATGTGGGTTTTTTTATCAGCTATTATTGAAAAGGAAATGCGAAAGCAGTTTAATATTCCTGATGGTAAAGAAGTCAGACTGTGGAACAGATGTACAAATAATACTTATGAACAATTAAGCAAACTCGATAGCACCATACAAGATGCAGAGCTCTATCAGGGACAGGTAAGATATATATTATTGTTTCTGGGATTACTTAAAACAGGTTGCAATTTCTAGGGTCATCCGTATTTCAAAATATTCTGAGATGAAATGGTTTCTGGAATATTGCGCATTCTGCTTCTCGTTAATATTCATAAGGAAGTTACCCCTCTGAACATCAGCTCCTTTATCTGGGGCTGTTGTGTAATAGTGCGGTTGGAGCAATCTGAATTTTTTTTTTTTAAATACTATATGTAGGTGTTAATTTCTTAAATAGTAGCTGCTTGTTTCAGGATTGGGAGTGATTTAATTGGGCTCCAAAAATGTTTTGTCCATGTAGCATTTGTATTTTTGTATAACACTGTTGACTATTTTTCTCCTGTTAGGTAGTGTTAATAGAAGTGAAAAATGAAGATGGTTCATGGCCTAGACAATCTTCTCTAACAAAGTAAGCATTTGTCTCTCACCTCTCTTGTTCTGTGGCTCAATTAAGTCTTTGCAAAACTTGATTACCAAAGCAAGGTTGCACACAGTTTGTAATCAGGACTAATAAACTCATCATTTAAATTTGTGAATTAATAATGCAACTGCCTTAACAGAATCTATTTTGGTTAGATTTATTTTAAAATCAGTAATAAATCTGATCTAAGAAGCCAAGAAATTCCAATAATACACAGCTCATTTAGTGATTTGTCTTAGTGATTGTTTGCAAATGTGGCAATAAATAGAATAAAAAACTCATCTTCTAATCACTGTGGCATTTATGAGCCTGACAGTGTGAAATTGATTATGATCTAGCCACTTTTAGCCAGTACTAGAGGACCTGGAAGGTTCTAATTAATTAAGTTCACAAAGCTGAGCTTATTAACTTGAGGTTTTTAGGGAAATGCAGGGATAGCTTTTTAAAGTAATTTCTCTACATTCAAGATATATTAAAAAAATGGAAGGATCAGACCCAGGACGCTGTACAAGAGAACTTTAACTAAGTGAGATGGCAGCAATCCGTGATCTTCAGAATACCCCTCTCTCTCAGTCACATGTTTACTTAGCCACCATTTCACTTAATAAAGTTGCTGGAATGGATTGCGGTCACTAAATAAGGAGAAGGTGTATATAGTAATTACAGTCTTATTTTGTAACATACCATGGAGCAATTTTGGTCTGCTTGGAGCGGAAATATTTTAAGTTTTGGAGGAAGTTTACATAACTATTAATTTCTTACATTTCTGTAATCTAAACGAAATTTTATTCATCTCACAATATGTGTTTCATGTGCAGCAGCTATCTAAAACCAGTCCTAGGGATTGGGAAAAGTTGAAAATACCTTGTTAGACATTTTTACTGAAGTTTGGTTTCTTTATTAAGAAAAATAAACATTCCGCTTGGTATTGGACGGCTGGAAAATTTTCTATATAATGGATAGATCTATAAATCTAGCATGTCATTAGCTACCTCTTGAATTTGATACCTTGTCATACTTTGTCCTATTGTATTGAAAATCCAGAAAAAAATTAAATAATGAATACTTGTCAAGATCTCAATTCCAAAACCAGTGTTTAAGAAATCATGTTCATGCCTTTTCCTAGATCCTGTACTGCATCTAGCAGAAATCTAGCTACCTCTTCAAAAGCATCAGCAAGCTCTTGCTCTTCAGTATCTGCCTCTCCAGTCATTACAAATGGCGATAGCAATAACTCCTATGGTTTGAACTGTTCTAGCCTTGGTAAAGGGTAAGAAAGAATATTCTTTCTATAAGTATTTTAAATAGAGTCGCTCCTAAGGTTTGTACCCTTTTGTTGCTGTTGTTAATTGCAAAGTCGTGTCCGACCCATCGTGACCCCCTTGGACAACGTTCCTCCAGGTCTTCCTGTCCTCTACCATCTTCTGGAGTCCATTTAAGTTCACGCCTACTCGAAGTCACTGAGGTAGGTCGGTGGAGTAAGAGACAGCAGGGGAAGAAGATAACGGGAGCTAGAAAGGGTCGTAATCCGGGAAGAGGTCACTCAGGAAGGAAGAGTAATCCACCGGTTTCATAAACTCAATCAACTTCAGGATCTGGCCTTCTAAAGAGCAGTCGGGGTTGATCTCTTCTAGGACTGACTGGTTTGAACCCCTTGCAGTCCAAGGGACTCGCAGGAGTCTTCTCCAGCACCATAGTTCAAAGGCTTCAATTCTTTGTCGCTCAGCCTTTTTTTATGGTCCTTTAGGAAGTCTTAATCCCTATTTGCAGTTAACAGTCTTTATACACACAAAAAGAAAGCCAGTATGTTGTAGGGGTTAAGGTTGACCCAAGTCCTAGTCCTGCCATAGTCATGAGGACTAAATGGGTGATCTTGGCCCAGACATCTCTTCTTAGTCCCTAAATCAGTGTCAGTTTCTGTGACAGGCTGGCTGATAAACAAAAGCCCTTGTTGCATCATGCTTTGGTAAGCTTTACTGTAAGAACTAGAGTTGGGCAGCATTTACATGTAATATGATGATGACGATGTTGAACAACAGCAACTAGGCAAATATAATGTAAAAGCAAGTGGAACTGCTACCATGCATGATACATGCTAAGAATACACAATGTTAAGGTAGAATATTTTGGCTTTGCTCTCAAAGCACTGTATTATTATTTTTTTGCCAGGTACTGTTCTGTTAAAAGAGATTCACTCTGTCCCTTTTTCCATAACTACTTTGTTATGTAACAGCTGATGACAAAATGCTGTAGTGTAATAGAGTTTTCCAAGATCAGTATGTGATTGGATGAAGCAGGAAGTATAAAGAATCTGTATGCTGTGTTTGATGGACATGTGAAAGTCCAGAAACAGGAAATAGTTGGAGAAAATCTTTAAAAAAATCAGAATAATTATTTTTAATACATTATAACTTTAAACAATACAAAAAATAATTAAGATGGAAAGGCATAATTGAAAATACTCATATCGAATAAAATAAATAAATGTAGACCACCCTATCTCAATATAGGAAAATCTTCAATAAACCTATATAAACAATACAAATTATAGAAACAAAAATTAGGATTAATTGAAACTGCTGATAATAATGTAGCAAAATATACATTTTGACATTTGCTTGTTCTCTGCTTAATCTTTTTTCTCCAGAAAAATTGGAGCCTTCTATATCGTTTTTTTTTTCAGCAGAGGACAAAATCCATTTTTTTCTAATGCTTATTATTTAATTTTTAATATTAACTTTAATATTAACTATAAGAAGGGTACTACATTCCTTAAGGTTCAAAAAGATTAGCTCCATTTTCAACAGTTAAAATCTAAACTAAATTGATGCAATGCATTTGTAACTTATTAAGAATATTTTTAAATATTCTGTAACCTGTATAAATATAGTCACTGTGTTAGCTTCTGTCTTGTTTTTGAATCACTTCAATGTGCTCAAGTTTATTTTTAAGTCCTGAGTGGCTTAGATCTGAGCTTCGTGTACTCAAAAGTTTGCTCCTCTAATGGAACCTTAGGTCTTTTGAGGAGGCCCTGCTTTAGATTTGCCTTTGTTGAATTTGGAGGACTGCTTCAGATGGGCTTCTCTTATCGGGCACTGCCTTCTTGCGTGTTTATACTAGTTCAGGGGTAGGCAACCTTGGCTCTTTTATGACTCATGGACTTCAACTCCCAGAATTCCTGAGCCAGCTATGCTGACTCAGGAATTCTGGGAGTTGAAGTCCATGAGTCATAAAAGAGCCAAGGTTGCCTATCCCTGAACTAGTTACACTAGTTTACATTGGAAGGTGGAAATAGTATAATTTTGGGGGGATGAAATAGCATTTTGATATTTCTTTAAAAAGTATGGAACTATTTTAATAAAATCTATTGATGTACATTCATTAACATAAATATGTATCTGCAGAATGAAATGCTTTTGTTAAAAGCTGGACACCCCAATAGTCATTTGTGAGAGCTACATCTAAGGAATTGCTTTGATATTATATACATTTATATATTAAATACTAATTAGAATGCCAGCTACAGTATGTCCTCGCTTTCTTTGCAAAGTCCTATGGTGCGTTAGCATGCAGTGATGTACCTTTTCTTTTTTCCAGTGGCTCGAGCTTTTCTTATAGTTCTTACAACAGCAGGGAAAGTCTTCAGTCACAGCCTGGACTCTGTGGGCTCAGTAATCTAGGAAATACATGTTTCATGAACTCGGCTCTACAGGTAAACTGTTGGTTAAGAACATACAGTGGTAGGCTTTCCGTTCAGGTTTTATATGAAAATGTACATTAAAATATGGGTTGGTAACCTGCTTTCTTAAGGCCTTTTACAACCCTCAGCTTAGTTTCAGAGACTTCATAGAAAGAATGTCTCCACCCTGGCTCCACCAATCCAGCTTGCTACTAATGAAATGCAGTCCTCAGTGAAACTGTTGCCCATCCCAATTTTGTAATATATAAGTACTGTTAAGCTCCTCAACAGTTTGAAATGCAACATAGTCAATTATTGGGTGGGATAGGAACGTGGAATGTGGCTTAATATCAAGTCCTTTGTTCATCCTCGCTACTGAGCATTGTCTGTGCTGCTTAGTACACAACTGTTCCTGGTTTCCAGGTACATTTTCCCCAATCTGACTGGGTGATTTCCTGTATTGAGCCCAGAACTATCTCTGTGTATAGCACGTGATGCTAATACAGAGCTTTAAAGCCTTACTGTCAGATTTGTGAGTAGTTAATGTTTATACTTTTAATTTTTAAAAACAACTTTGAAACTACTTTTATTTCAGTTTTACTATAACTTAAATAAAAGTAGTTTCAAAGTTGTTTGAAACATTACAGTGTTGCAGTATTTTAAACTGGTTAGTTGACCTTTTGTTGAATTGATTCTAATTTGTGTGCATTTCTCTATAAAGTGTACATTTTTTAAAACTCTCTTAAAAGATAACAAACTACTTTTGGAAACTACTTTTGAAACTTCTGGACTTAAATCTTTTAAAGGATTTATATCTTTAATTGACTCTGCTGAAACTTTTTGTCTTTAAAACAAAGACTGCCTAAAACCTATGGGTCGCGACCCCATTTGGGGTCAATCGACCATTTCACGGGGGTCGCCAAGCAAGGCTTTCCGCCATTTTTTCCCCCTTTTCCGGCGGGTGCCTTACCTCCCTTGGGCTGGGCCAGCTGGTGGTCGGCCTGCTCCGTCTCTGCCGCTTGCCAGCTACACCTCGGCCGGCGCAGGAGGCAGAACCACGCATGCGCGGCACTCCCGGGCAGGGAAAATCCTCGACTTACGACCGGTTGGGTAGTCCTCGACTTACGACCAGATTAGTCCTCGACTTACGACCGGATTAGTCCTCGACTTACGACCGGTTGGGGGTCGCGGCATTAAAAAGGTTGGGAACCACTGGCCTAAACGGTGTTTTGATCTTGCTGGGAGGAGCGGGAGGAATAGTTTCAATTTTACTGGCCAGTTGTATAGGCTGTTAAACAAAGAGGCACAGACTAAATTCTTTTCTGTCGCTCATATTACAGTATTGTTGTTTGGCCACACGAGGGAGCCAAATGACTGTAGTATTACTAATCCTTTTTAATTCTCCAGCAACATTATTTATCCCATTGGATTTAATGTTATAAATTTATAAGTTTAAAATTTTTAACTTTAAAACTTTAGTTACAATTTCACAGGATGGCTATGCGCAAGAGAATGGAGAAATTGAAAAGAATATCAAGAGATGCAGAATTTTTAAGACTCTTTTTGGATGAATATACAGCTAAAACATGAACTAATTCAGACAATGGGAACAAAGCTTGAATCCAAGCTTGATACGCTTTCAAAGGAACTTCGTGAAGAGATACAACATTTGACTGGAGATATGAAACAGGTGAAGAATAGAGTGGATCTTATGGAGGATAAACTGACGAAGAAAGAAAGAAGCTGATTTGAACAAAAGAGCACTTCTGGAAGCACAGATTAAACAATTGCAATTAAGATTCCAGGCAATTCCTGAATTGGCTGGAGAGGAGATTAGATTAAGAATGATTAAAGCGTGGCTCAGTTAATTAACTGGGAAGCAAAGATCCTTGACCTTGAAATAGACAAAGTATATAGAGTAAATTCCAGATTTGCTACTATGAGAAAACTACCAAAAGATGTCTTAGTTCATTTTGTAAGAACAACGAGAAACCATGTCCTGGATTGCCACTTCAAATCTAAGCTAAGAATGGAAAATGGGGATATCATTTTTAAAGGAAATTCCTTTTAGAATTTTGAGAAAAAGGAAATTCTACTCTTTCCTTACTGATATTCTGAAGAAGAGGAAAATTTCTGCTGTGATAAAATTGAAGAAGTGATACTTATCAAGAGCAAAGATTCAGACTGAACTCTATAGAAAAAGCCAAGGATTTCCTGATCAAACATAAGCTAATTTTGGACACAGTTGGAGAAACGGATACAGACAAGAAATTAGAGGCTGATCAACCTCAAAAAGTTGACATTGAAGAAGAGGATGCAGCTGAGATGTTCGTACAGGAACTTGCTATTTTATCTAAAGATTAAGTTTATTACATGGAATATTAATGGGGCAAATGCCCCATCTAAACACCAAAAAATATTTCATTACCTGAGGAAACTCAATGTCGATATAATCTGCCTTCAAGAAACACATATTAAGAAACAAGACTTAATCTTAAATCTTAACAAGACTTACTATGAACATGGTAGATTTGTAGTAGTGGAAATTGAACTTAACGGAATAAAGGCAATAGTAGTTAGACTCTATGTGCCAAATGATGATAAAGTAAATTTTTTGAATATCTTACGAATCAACTACTGCCCTTTTTGTATGAAAACTGGCTTATGTTGGGGGATTGGAATGGAGTGCCTTCCCCAATTTTGGATAGAACATCTATTAAAGGGATTAAATCCTACCAGGGTAAACTATCAAACACTTTTTTTGAGATGGACAATTTAGCATTAATACATTCGTGGAGGCAAGGAAATGGCTGTGCCAGAGAATATACTTTTTTTCAGAAATACATACCATATGAAGGATTGATATGATATGGACTTCTAAAAATCTTGCAAATAAAATTCTAAAAATTGACATTTTACGTAATTTTTTTCTGATCATAATCCAGTTCTTTTGATATTTAAAAAAGAATTTGAGTTGTAGATGGAGACTAAATGATCTATTCTGCAAAAGAAGACTATTGTAAAGGACTGTAAAAATTAAATGACTATTTTGACAATAATTTAGGCAAAGGGACAAACTTAATGACTGTTTGGGATGTGAGTAAAGCAGTTATGGGGGGTTATTTTATACAATATAATCACCTAGAGAAGAAAAAATCCCAGGAAAAGATGCAAAAGATACTGGATGAAATTAAACAGAAAGAAATTTACTTGCAAAAGACACCTATGCACTCTAAAATTCTACATCAGATTAAATAGTTATGGCAACAACTGTCCATGCTAACAGTTCAAGAAATGGAAATGAAAATGAATTATGTGAAGCAAATAAACCAGGAAGATGGTTGGCGTATAAACTAAGAAAGGAAAGGGAAAAGAGAATGATTGAGAAAATTTGTGAAGGCAACAATGTAATAAAGATAATGGGCTTATTAAAAATATTTTCATAATTTTTATTCTAATTTGTATAAAAAGCAGGAGTTAGATATATCTAAAATGAATATCTGTTAAGACAGTGGTTGCCTAAACTCACAAACTCAGAGAAAACTTATGAATGACTCAGTAACTACCTTTGAAATATCAGAAGTTATTAAAAAAATGAAATCACGTACAGTTCCAGATCCAGATGGCCTTACAAGCCAATATTATAAATGCTTCAAAGATTAACTTCTTCTGCCACTAGAGGATGTAATGAACGATATATTACAGGGGGGAAAGATACCTCATAGGTGGAAAGAAAAGAAGCCAATATTGTGCTACTACCGAAGGAAGGTCAAGATATTATGAAGATAAAGAATTACAGACCAATCTCATTATTAAACAAATACTATATAAATTTTTACGGCAATTTTGGCAAAAAGATTACAGGCAATATATTAATGAAGATCAATCTGGCTTTTTGCCAAAAAGACAATTAAAGGGACAGTGTGAGGACTGTTTTGAATCTTATTGAATAGCTACAATACCATAATGAGAAACAGGCAGCTTTAATATTTTTAGATGCAGAGAAGGCCTTTGACAATCTAAATTGGGCTTTTATGTTTAAAGTTTTAGAAGAAATGGACTTTGTATCCAAGGAGTTAAAGCTGTTTTACATGTCATAGCAATCAAAATTTTTATTAAACAGTGATTTAACCAATTTATGTGAAATTCAAAACTAGGAGACAAGGATGTCTCCTGTCTCCTTTGTTGTTTATTTTGGTGTTGAAAGTTTTGAATAGTTTTGAAGTTTACAAATTGAGGGCATTTGCTGAAAATTTGGTTATATTCTTGCAAGACCCCAAAAATAATGTAGAATATTTAATGAAGAAATTAAATTGGGGCTTTAGCAGGTTTCAAAATAAACAGAAAAGAATACTTACTAAGAATATGATCCCACAGGAGAGTGAGTCTGGTTTTAAGGTTAAGAAAAAAGTGAAATATTTGGGGGTCATATTGGCAAATACAAACACAAAACTATTTGAAAATAATTATGTGCCTCCTGGAATAATATTAAAAAGGACTTATCAAGATGGGATAAATTGCATCTATCACAACTGGATAGAATTTCTGTAATTAAAATGAAAGTCTTACCAAAGATGCTTTTTTTTGTTTCAGACGTTACCAATACTTGCAATTGATACTCCATTTAAACAATGGCAGAGGGATATTTCTAAGTTTTATGGCAAGGAAAAAAACCCAAGAATTAGATGTAAATTACTGCAAGATGCTACAAGGGGGTTTGGGTTTACCAGATTTGAAACCGTGTTTGATACTTGTTGTTTGGTTTGGCTATAAGAGTGGGTGAGCCTCCAGAGTAAGAGGCTACTTGATTTAGAGGGTCATGAATTAAGATTTGGATGGCATGGTTATTTACGGTATGATAAGGTTAAAATAAATGTTGATTTTTAATAATAACTTTGTTAAATGTGCCATTCTAAGGGTCTGGAATAAATATAAAACAAGGTTTTTCTATGAAGATGCCTCTTTGGGTGTCCCCTCAGGAAGCTTTTTTTAGGAACGAAATGGTTGCGAAGCTGGATTGGTGGACCTATGGTAAAATAATATCATTTAATCTTGGTGATCCTATCATCAAGCCTAAGGAAGAGCTAGAATCAGAAGGACATGTCTGCCATTGGTTTACGTATTTACAATTGAAAGAAAGATTTAAATTAGACAAAAAGAGTTATGGGTTTGACTTCATTAAAAATGAATTGGAAAGCCTACCATGTGGTAGTGATGAATAAATTATTGCTAAGGTTTATAAAACATTATTGAATTTGAATTTGGAAAGTGAACATGTAAAATATTGATTCAGTGGGCAAGGAATTTTGGATATAATGTAAAGCTTGAACAATGGGAGAATATGTGGATGAAAGGTTTAAAATTTACACCAAATTCCAATTTAAAAGAAAAATTTTATGAGATGATGTATCATTGGTATTTAACACCAGATAAGTTATCAAGAATATAGAAAGGTACCTCAAATGAATGTTGGAAATGCAAATGTAAAGAAGGGACTTTTTATCATTTGTGGTGGACATGGAATAAAGCAAAGAAATACTGGAATAGGATTCATATTCTAATACAAAAGATTCTCAAACTGAATATAAAGATAAAACCAGAAACTTTTCTTTTGGGTTTAATGGAAAAAGACTTGGACATTTTTTTGGGAACTTTGATGTTATATATGTTGATGGCAGCAAGATTACTTTATGCACAAAAATGGAAGGATACTTTGATCCTCACAATGGACAAATGGCTGTAAAAGTTGATCGAGTTAGCAGAGATGGTTAAATTGACTGCTTTGATAAAAAAAATATATAAGTACTTTTGTTTCTACTTGGAAACCACTTCTGGACTTTGTGCTTGAGGTGGAAAAAAAATAAATTTTTGATTTTGGGTTTTACCAATTAGATAGATTTGTTGTTATACAGATGGCTGGTTTATACTATATGTAAAAGTAAAAAGTTGAGGTTTGATGTTACTATCTTATTTTACTGCACCAAGGAGAGTTGGAAGTCAACACCTTTTCTTTCTTTTTCCCTCTTCTACACTCTTCCCTTTCCCTTTCCCTCCCCCATTTTTCCTTCTATTTGTTTTTAGTATTTTTTGTATTTTATATTATAAACAAAAAAAGATAACAAACCCAAGCAAAGTGTTAAATAAGTCCATATAAGGACCTGCTCCAGCTGGCCCCTCTTCTTTTGATTCAACTCAATGGATTCAAAAGTCTTACTTTCCTAAGTAAGACTTTTGAATCCATTGAGTTGAATCAAAAGAACTTTTAGTGAGAAAAACTGGTTGCAATAAAGTCAGGTGGAATCTGAAGGTCCCACGCAAAGCGTAAAGCAATTCTTTCGGTTTCCCAATCCCAACCCCCCTGACCAGTCCACCAGTAGCCAATGTGATGCCGAGAAGATGTTTTGAGAACACCAAGGTGCTAGGCAGATAACCGTTCACTCTCAGGGCACAGTGGTCAGGCCTGGCAGGAACTGACTGAGAAGGAGTCTATGCTGTCTCCGAAGACAGTCTCCCTTCTTAATTCCCAAGTGTGCAGCAGAAGTGAAAGAATCCCAAGTAGAATAGAATAGAGCTGGAAGGAACCTTTGATGTCTTCTAGTCTAGCCCCCTGCTCAAGCAGGAGATCCTATACCATTTCAGACAAGTGACTGTCCAGTCTCTTCTTAAAAACCTCCAGTGATGGAGCGCCCACAGTTTCTGAAGGCAAGCTGTTCCACTGGTTAATTGTCCTCGCTATCAGGATGTTTCTCCTTAATTCCAGGTTGCTTCTCTTTTTGATCAGTTTCCCACCATTGTTTCTTGTCTTGCCTTCTAGTGCTTTGGAGAATAATTTGATGCCCTCTTCTTTGTGGCAGCCCCTCAAATGCTGGAATACTGCTATCATGTTGCCCGTTTCTTCTTTTTTGCCTCTTCCCCTCCAGCACAATGGCAGCACATGCTGATGGACCTGACAGTCCAAGCTAATGAATTTTTTGCTTTATGATCTCCAGCAATATCCATACAATTCCTAACTAATTCTTACATAATTTTCTAAATAGCATCCTCCAATTTTAGGAAAAAATGTAATTAGTGTGTTTGTGTGGGGGGGGGTCATAGTGTGCTATGGGCATCATTTTGTCACATAATTCTTTTCTCTGAACATTTTTTTAGTGTTTGAGTAACACACCTCCCTTGACTGACTATTTCTTGGAAGATAAATATGAAGCTGAAATAAATCAAGATAATCCTCTGGGAATGAGGGGAGAAATTGCAGAAGCATATGCAGAACTCATCAAACAAATGTGGTCTGGCCGGAATTCTCATGTAGCCCCTCGTATGTTCAAAGTAAGTGTAAAATTCATCAGAGTTAAGTGCTGTGTCTTTTCGAATGTTTTGTATACTCTATAAAGCTTTACTGTTTATATAGTATGAAGTATAAGACTACACTTTTTCAGTAGGAAGCCTAGATTGAATTTAAGATAATTGCAAGAAAATCCCATTTGCAATAAGTTATGTAGATTGAAAAATTTGCTTTGTTCATGAAACAAAGACATTAGGTCACACAGGTTTAGCTGAGCCATTCTGAGTTGGTTGAACTAAAATCCAGAACATTTAGGTTGTTCTTGGTTTTATCCAAGTAAAATTTAGAAGTATCTTACAAATGAATTGGACAATGTTAAACTTCTTGCCTTTGTTACCTTTTATTCTCCTTTTCATAGACTCTATGCCAAGATCTCCCATCATATCTTCCCATTACCTCTGCTGTTGTTTTACAAATCCATTCAATCACCAGCTCTATGTCCTAATTCTAGCTTCTTCCTTTCTGATAGGTGCCAATACTGCCCTATCCAACCTGCCACCTACCTTTCTGCTCACCAGCTTGTACCTAACTGGTCCACCAGTCCCTTCCCCGTTTTCAAACACTTTGTTTTCCTTTATCTTCCATTGGCAACCATTGAGGATGTACTTGATCGGTCTCTTCCCTATCTAAACACCTATGTGCTAGACCAGTGATGGCGAACCTTTTAGAGACCGAGTGCCCAAACTGCAACCCAAAACCCACTTATTTATCACCGGGTGCCAGGTGGGCGTGGCCCACTGGGTGGGTGTGACTGTGGTCATGACAGACTGGGTGGGTGTGGCCAAGGTGGGCGTTGTCACCTCGATGTTGCTCATGGGGTGGGATGCCTGTGGGGGCCGGGCAGGGTTCGGAGAGATCCAGGGAATCTCTGGCAGGTGGGGCAGTGGGCAGGAGGTTCGTCCTGCGGGGTGAGGTGAGGCAAGGCGAGGCAGGGCTGGGGTGCCATTGTCGCAGGGCAAGGCGAGGTACGGGTCAGGGCGGCTGCTGCCTGACACCATCGGCCCACGCACACAGAGGCTAGCGAGCGCATTTGGGCCAACAGTGTCCGTCAGCAGTCACAGCCTGCCGGCCCCTCGACCGGTGCACACCGGGGCTCTGCAGCCCGCCACCAGAAGTTTAGAGAAGCCGCCTCTGAGCTGGATAGATGGCTGACAGCTGAGGAGGCGATGCAGTGGGTCGTGCCCAGGAAAAGAGCATGCGAGGCCAGGAGGGATGGGACAGGGGAGGGAAACCAGCCGTGCTGGGATGCATCCGGCCACGTGGGACCTTGGCGACTGGTTGAAGAGGGACGGTTGCCATCTCTGGGGCATGGCGTGCGTGCCCACAGAGAGGGCTCCGGGATCCGCCTCTGGCACGCGTGCCATAGGTTCGCCACCACTGTGCTAGACCCATGTGCAAACCAAAATGCCTATGTTCTGGTCTCAAGTTACCCCTCTTTACATGCACAGCATGTCCCCACTACAGTGCCTTTACAGGTAATTCTCATTTAACAATGGTAGTCAGGATCAGAATTTCCATCACTAAGCAGTGCAGTTGTAAAGCACGATGTCACATGACCGCATTGCTTACCACTGAAGTCCTGTTACCACTATTAGACCAGAATCACAGGTCATTAAGCAAGATCCTCATGTGACCATGACTTGTGACTTTCTGCCAGCTTCTAACAAGCAAAGAGAAAGCTGTCAGAAAGTGACAGTTCCTGGAAGAAAGAGTTCGTCCGACCGTCCGTATGCTCACGATACCTCACATCTCCCTTACGACGTCATGGCACACTCACGTCCATACACCCCCTTCCCTACGACGTCGAGACGTACTCACGTCCGTCCGTATCTTTCCCCGTGACACCACGACACGTTCACGTACGATGTCGTATATCCGTCCCCTACAACGTCCAACACACGTCTTAAAGTTCCCTGAGATCTCTTACTCTGGAGCAGGCTCCTTGGGAGAAAAGTGACAGGGGTAATTTACGGGAGCAAATTGCAACCTTCCTTTCCGGCTTCCCAATTGACTTTGCTTGTAGAAAGCCACTAGGAAGATCACAAATGGTGATCATGTAACTACAGGACGCTATAACCATCATAAGTGTAAACCAAGTGTCTGGATTGTGATCATATTACCATGATAGATAACCAAAACTTCAAAGACTGATTGTAAGTACTACTCATTCAGTACAAATATAACTATAAACTAGACTAGAGCATAGCTACATTGAATTCTGTAGAACTGAGAGCACTGTTATTGTTTTCTTTCACTTTATAGAGTTTATAAACAATATTCCTAATTATTTTCCTTTTTTTCCCCATTTTTAATTCTAGACCCAGGTTGGCCGTTTTGCTCCTCAGTTTTCAGGATACCAACAACAAGATTCTCAGGAGCTTCTGGCCTTTCTTTTGGATGGCTTACATGAGGATTTAAACAGAGTAAAGAAGAAACCATATTTGGAATTGAAGGATGCTAATGGGAGACCTGATTCGGTATATTCTAAAAAAATATTTCATTTGTATTTCAATTGTGTTGTAAAACAGGGCTTTTCAACCAGTGGTACGGGTACCACCTGTGGTACATTGGCACCTGGCAGGTGGTACGCGACCATCCTAGAAAAGTAGCGGGGGAGAGGAATGAGCTGAACCAGTGGCAGCAGCGCACAAGCCTGAGCGAGAGATGGCTGGAGCTGCAGGGTTGTCAGGGCTCAGCGGAAGCGCCAGCATCAGTGCCCTTTCCAGCTGATCGGCGCTTCTTCGGGGCTGTCAGGGCTCAGTGGAAGTGCCAGGATCAGCGCCAGGCTCCAGCTGGAGCTCGGCGCTAATCCTGGCACTTCTGCTAAGCCCAGAAGAAGCGCCGATCAACTGGAATGTTGCAGCATCTCCAGGATCTTGTGATTTACATTCAGATGCTTGGCAACTGATTCATATTTATGACGGTCACAGTGTCCCAGGGTCATGTGAAGTGACCAAAACCTGCTGCAACCACCCAGCAGACGGGGGGAATAAAAACCAAACACCCCCACCCCACCCCCGCTGCCAATCCTCAACAGAAATGCTCACAACAATGAAAACCTCGGACAGGAGGAAGAGCGCCNTTTTTACTTGTCTTACTGAGAAGCAGCATCTATATTTCCTTTATAATACAAGCAATAATCAACTTTTTGATAGCCTTATTCCATCCAGTTCTTCACTTACTAAGCCTGAAAATTAGAGTTGATTTGATTACAGTTTTTCTATACATGTTGATTAGTATTAAGTGCATGAGATAGGTTTTGTCCTGAGTTTGAAAATACCTCCCTTCTCTTTCCTTCTTTGACAAAAGAAATTTTAAGCACAGTTGTTTTTTTAACTAGATTTCTTTATAATGTCCAAAGTTAGAAAAATTGGGATAGTTTAAGCCCTGTTTAAAATGTATTATACTAAATTGTTATGAGGTCAGTGGCTTTACAAATTTGATAAATTAAGCTAGATAGCCCTGTGATCCGTTGAGTCACCCTTTGAGAGAAAATAGTGCAGAATGACTAGAATGAACATTAAATTAAATGACCATGCTATTTTGCTCCAATGCTGAACAGTCCTGTGATCATCTAAGGAAAGTATATATCATAATTTTTAAAAAAAATAATTGTAGTGGCAAATAAACTTCATTAATAAGACAATATTTACATACCTAAACAGATAAATAGAAGACCACAGGCTGGCAAAAAAGCAATGGGAGCAGAACTTCCAACTTAGTGCTGGCTTCCACATTCACTTTGCTTGCTTGATGTCAGCGTTGAAAATCAGTCACATGACTGGGGACCTTGCAGTGATCACAGCTTTGCTAATAAAACTAGTCTGAAATTGTGGAAATTTCAATTCCAGAGGAGTAATGAGTCCTAGATGTTTTACACATTCTTTGAGTTGGCAGATGTTAGGTACCCTTGATTCAAAAATTGTTGTGGTATAATCCATCATTTGAGCTAATTTCAGAGTATAAATGATAAATACAATGAGAGTTTTATATAAATTGTAAGCTATTATTTGATCCTGACTTGAACAAAATATTTTTGCTCAGAGTTACCTTTGATATAATGGCATACTTAATTTAAAATTGTCATAGCTTTTGTGACTTGTCATAGCTTTTGTGTATAACACTAATCCGCAGTTATACGTGACACAGTGTATTTTCTAATAACTTGATTTTTTTATTTCTTAAGGAATGCATTTGAGAAATTAATTAAATACATACAGATGTTGATTTATTTTTTGGCTTAATTTGTATTTTTTCCACTTTAATGAAATCTTCAACAATAAAAATGAAAGACGTAAAATACAGAGTAACTATAAAATAGAGAACTGATGGGGCCAAAAGGTTACTGAAACAAAAATATGTCTTGTCTTATTAAGGGAAGTAATGAAAAAAGAGGCTAGTTAAACCTTTCCTGTAAAGAATTCTAAAACCCTTATGAAAGGTGATTTCATAAATTCTCACCAATAGTCTATGGTAGCAGAAGTGGCAAAGATGGTATAGGAGTATGTAATTTTTCAGAAAACCTAGTCCTTAGTCACACAACGATTTTTGGTTCTTCTAGCATGTATCTTACGTTATATTACTTTGAGGCATATACATTTCAGTAACTTTCCTGTAGAAGAAATCTGTTTCAACTGAATTTATTTATTTATTTATTATTTGAATTTTTATCCCGCCCTTCTCCTTACGGACTCAGGGCGGCTGACAGCCTGATAAAACAGATACAAAGATAAAAATACCCACTTTAAAACCTAATTAAAATGAAATATTTGATGTGGCCTGTGTCAATTTAAAATTATTCTGAACTGACTGAATTTACTGAACTGACTAGGTTCAATATTTGCTGTTTCACTACAATCTGTTTTTCTTCATATAGATGGTTGCAAAGGAAGCCTGGGAGAACCATCAATTGCGTAATGACTCTATAATTGTAGATATTTTTCACGGACTCTTCAAATCCACATTGGTCTGCCCCAAATGTTCTAAAATTTCAGTTACCTTTGATCCATTTTGCTATTTAACACTCCCTTTGCCCTTGAAGAAAGATAGATCCATGGAGGTATTCTTGGTGTTTGCAGATCCACAGCGCAAACCTATGCAAGTAAGTAGAAATGTCAGTGGTACTATAATCTGCTTCAGAAGTCTTCTTAGATCACTAAAATAATTCTAAAGCCAATCATGGGAACTTGTCAAGCAAATTGTCAAAGCAAATTGGCAGTAGATAAGTGTCAGTGGAATTCAAAGTGGGCTGGACATAGATCTTTTGTGGGTGCAAAGGGGCTTGAGACTGATGAGACATTTGACCCCTCCCTCAGGCTCAGTCTGCTCATCTCCTACAAAACCGGCTATATTTCTTTTTTAAACCTGAAAAAGAAATGAAAAAAAAATCACTTGGATGATATTGCTTTGCTATCTGTTTTGAAGTAAAATAAAGTTAAATCTGTCCCTTTTTAAAAATTATTTGTGAAAACATGCATAACAGAGGTGAACATTAATTATGAGATTATTTAGAATTATGTCAACAAAATAAAAGTCAAGGATCATAAAAAATTCCAAAGGCCCATCAACAGGGTATAGAATCACATCAGTATGCTGATTTTGGGTATTCATTTGAATAGTCCAGTTTCAGAATAGTGTATAGTGCCAGAAATCTAAGACTAAGAAAACAGATGAAATTATTTTCATGATGAATAATACTGTCATCAGTTTATCCACTGTGTAATATTATTTATATTTTAAGTTCCCATAAAATTGGCATAGCAGGTTTTGTTGTTGCTCTTGCAAAAATTAGGATTAATAACTGATGAGTATAGTATTTGTTTTACGTATTATAAAAAGTTGCCTTAATCATTTTAACTGAAAAGCTGGTTATAGAAGTTCAATATAACTTAATTATTATCATAAATATGAAGATATATTTTAACAATGGGTTAAGATAATTTAATATTTATATTCCACTAATCTGGTTATAAGCATACTTTCAAATTATGATAGAAATTAATTATAAATGTATATGGCCACCCAACTCAAGAAAGTAACTCTGGACAGTCTATAAAAAGTCAAATACAAGAACAATACTTTAAAAGCTAACTAAAATTGTAAATTAGCTAGATTAAAGTGTACTGGAATACAACAATTGAGACTCCGCCCATCTGCTCCCAAAGAGGTGGGGAAAGAGCCAGGCGTTAACTTCCTTTCTAAAGGTGTACAGGATTGGGACCAACTATATATTAAAGACAATTTATTAGGTAGGAACCAATACTAACAAGGCACACCACTGAATATGTGGTGTGCCCTCCCTATTAAAAGTGTGGAGGATAAGCAGATACCTTAGGCAACAGACCGGAAGTCTATTAGAAACAAGTACAGAGAAAGGGCACAGTGAGGAAAGCCTTTATCTATCCCTACCAGCTGCTTGATGGTTTTCAAAGGCAGCCCATGTAAAACGTGTTGCAGTAATCCAATCAGGAAGTGACTTTAAACCATGAGTAATCATTAGTCCAGGAATTGGCATAATTGACACACAAGACCATGTTGTATAAAAACTCCTTTTGTCACAACTGCCACCTGCTTTTTCTGCAGGAGCTTTGAAACTAGGAGCCCAAATTGTGTACTGAATTCAAATAGGGCAATGCCATCCCATCCGGAATCAAAGATGGAAATCCTCCTGATCCTGAATTCACAGGACCCCAAACCAACAGCCACTCAGTCTTGGAAGAGCTTAGCTGAAGCCTGTTCTTCCCCATCCAGATTCCTACAACTTCTACACACCAGAACAGAATCATGAGAGCATAATTTAGGCAGACAATGTCAGAGATGTACAATTGGGTATCAACAGTGTAGTAGTGATACTACGCCTCATGCTGACATATGATCTCTCCCAGTAGCTTTATGTTTATGTTGAAAGGGAGATGGGCAACCTACAAAGCAGGCACCTAAAGGTAGACCACAATCTTTCCATCTATACTGCCTGGAATCAGCCCTGATACAAGGAGTAGAACTTCTACAAAATAGTGCCCACTCAACCTCCTAAGCTGGTCCAGAAGGATTGTTGATATTTGGTTGGAGATATTAAAAGCTACCATGAAATCAAGCAGGGCTAGGATGGATGCACTATTATTCCAAACCCACCACAGGTCATTTACAAGAGTGACCAAAACTTGTCTTATATTGTTATAACCTGAGTGGAAGATGTACAGATAATAATATTCTAAGGATTCTGCCTACTTCTTCAGGACTAACAAAATTAAACTCCCAGATAACATCAGAAGACCAAACCCCAGAACTCTATAGTGGAGATGAGACAGCTTCCAGGGGGTAGGTACAAAAACTATCCTCATGGTGTCTAGAGAGCAACTTGCACCTGAACATTGGCAAGACAAAGGAGATGGTGTTAGACTTCCGGAGGAAAAGAGAGGAACCTGCCCCACTTTACATCGAAGGGGGCTGTGTGGAGAGAGTTTCCTCCTTTAAATTCCTGGGAGTCTACCTCTGTGAAGATCTTACCTGGAAAATTAATACGGCCCAGGTGGCCAGAAAGGCCCAACAGAGACTCCACTTCTTCAGGGTCTTGCGGAAGAACAGGGTAGAACAACGACCATCGTGGGCTGTTCCCTGACACCACTGGATGACATCGCCAGGGCCCGTTGCCTTGGAAGAGTGAGGAAAATTCTCAGGGATGACTCACACCCTGGTTGGTACCTCTTTACTCTCCTACCATCAGGTAGGAGATATAGAAATATAACTAGCCGTACCAACAGGCTGAAGAACAGCTTCTATCCATGGGTGTCAGGCTCTTGAATGGGACATAACTTTATGCATAATAGACTCGTGAGGCCGGCACGCAGTTCAATTAGCTCACATGGTGTAATACGTTGGTGGGTTTGTAGTCACTGTGAGTTGGGGGGGCACGGAGGGAGGCTCAGCCAACCTCGTTGTATACATGTACTTTGATAATAAAGGTTCATTCATTCATAAAGGATTTGGCCAGGAGTCCAACTCAGAGCAAATCTGAGCAATTTTATCTACTAGGTGCCAAGAATAGTCCTCACAACCACCCTGCAGGTAATCTCTCAGTCCCTTTTAACCAAATAGGGACTGGATACCCTGAACTGGACTGCCAGGCAGAGAAATAAGTACATTTTAGTACTTATATTACCGCACATTTTATTAGCGCCAGTAATAAAGTCTCTAACCTCTGTATGATTGGATTCACTTCCATTTGTCCTGCAATGGCATTGCAAGTATCTCTTCCACAGGTTTATCCTCCACAGATCCTCTGTAAGGATGTAGTGGGATTTGTGCCAGGGGAGATCTAAGGCACCCTCTGATCAAAGCTGCTGCTGTTACCTCATTCCAAGCAGCAACCGAGGCTTCAGCTAAATCATCAATCAAAGCCTCAGGAACAACCCCAAACTAATTTTGCAAACAAATTTGGATTCATTAGGTGCCTGTTGAATAGGTTCCATCTCTTTACTCAGGGATGCTATGATAAATTCCAAGGTTAACAGAGAATGATCTCTCCATGGCAAGGGAATAATGGTAATATTTCCCCAATATCAGATCATGTTGCCACTGAGACAAAAAAAAAAAGATCTAGTGTGTTGCAGACACCCATTTATTAATCAGGCCTGCAATAAGCTAAATCAGGTTCATAGCAAATATGAATTCCCCAGACTGCCTCTGAGTTTGGCCCTGGGGAGAACAGGTTGAAGCCCCCTAAGTCTATAAGCCTGAGGAGTTCCTCTGTCAACCCAAAGATGGCATTGAGCATCATCAATCAATCAATTTGGTCTTCTAAAGTTTCATCGTTCAGCCTTTAGCACAGAGGCCTTGTCTTGTATACCTAGTAACTGAACTACTGATACATGGCAAGTCCTTTCCTAGTGATATCAGTAATACGATTGGTGTAGTTATGATAATTTATGCCCTGATTATCACTGGCATCCAGAATCTGGAAATTGGGGTGGGATACAAAAACTAAAAAAATAATCAGCATAACAGTATTCAGATTCAAATAAGAAATCAACAGAGATACACAAATGGATGTAACAGTGGAATGAAATAATTTGAGCTATTGGCTTTCATAAAAAGTAAGTGAAGTACTTGTTTGAATTCTGTGAATGTTTTTCCAATACAGCTTCACATATAGCGCATTCCAATTATATTTTATTAAATAATTAAAGCCTTTATGACCAAAACAGATAGCTTCCATTTTATGCTTAAATAACAGGAGGAAAAAAAATTAAAATTGAACACATAACACAGACTAATTAGACTGGTTGAGGCGTGAATTTCTTAGTCCTTGTTTTCTTCAATAGGGGATTACAACAAAACGATCTGTTGCAGGACAGATTTTTAGTGTATTTTCAATTTTAAAAATTAGGTGAAATCAGTAGCGAGAAATATTGAAACTGATTATAGTGAAAATCCTTTTACCAAGGGTTATGTTCTTACTTTGTTTAGTCTAAATTTAATGTTTGCTTACTTCCAGTTCCGAATAGTAGTGCCCATGATGGGTGGTATATCTGATCTGTGTGATGCATTGTCCAAAATTTCTGGGATCCCTGCAGAAAATGTAAGAATAAAGCATAAAAGTTTGCCATTTTTTTAAAGAACTTGCAAGATGAATTTTTGAATGTTAATGTTACAGTGTATTTAAATATAAAATATATACAGGATAAGTATGTTTTTCTGCTGAGAACAGGCAAGGTAATATGTTTTATTGATTGAAAAAAAATGTTCAGAATCTGTTTTGCTTTCTATTAAGAATTGTTAAAAAAATTAAAAGCTTCTTATTTAATGTTAATCCAATCATTTTAACATTTTATCCTTTAGGGAAGCATGTTTGGACCAGAATTATAATTACCATTTTTCTCTTAATTGGTAGTTGGAGGAAGTATAGTACTGAGTAGCTTCTGATGGGCAAAAATAATTTTGCAGAATTTGAAAATTTTAATTTTTCTGGCAGCAGATCTAGAAATACTAGAATATAACCAAGTTGCTTCTACCAGTCCATTTCAATCTGTTTTGTAAACCAGGCTACACTAATAGAATTTAAAAAAAAAAAAAAAAGTTGTTTGAATCTATGAACTGCAATGTTTTGGCAGAATCAAGTTGCTTTCCTTCCCTTTTCAGATATTTAGGTGCTATTTATCAAACTAAAATTTTTGATGTAATGATTCTATGTCATTATATCATTATTATTTGATATAATAATATCAATAATTGATATTATTTTTACCCTGCCTCCTAGCATCTCTTTTTCTTCAAATCCTTACTCCTTTTGAAACAATTAGTTACAGTTTTTTTCCAATTTTGATATGTATTTTTATGGCAAATACAAAGAGAATTACTGCTTCTTATATCTGAAATTCTATTTAATTGTCATTCTGTGAACCATTTTCATGGAAGTATCTCAATACTGGCAAGTATTGAACACTTCATCTGCTTTCTAATTAGTGTTCTTCAACTGTTTGCTATTTTAGATGGTGGTGACAGAGGTCTATAATCACAGATTCCAGAAAATTTTCCAAATGGATGAAGGCTTAACTCATATTATGCCAAAGGACAATATATTTGTGTGAGTAAATCAAATATCTAGAAGGAATAGCTGCTATGAAAATTAGATGTATTATTCTTGACTAGTACATACTGATGAAAGAAAATGTGGTCTGTACTGCATGCTCTTTACTTATTGATCTCCTAGGACAGTGATGGCGAACCTTTTAGAGACTGAGTGCCCAAACTGTAACCCAAAACCCACATGCATCCTCGGGTGCCGGGTGGGTGTGGCCCATTGGATGGACGTGGCTGCGGTGGTAACAGCAGACTGGTTGGGACTAAAAAGTTCAATCAATCAATTCCAACTTTGCAAGATCTTCTTTTTTCCCACGAGAAGTTGAAATTGACTGATTGATTGAACTTTTTTTTTTTTTTTTGCACACGGCGGTGGAGGCCTAAAGCGAAAAGATTTTATAAAACCCAGCTGAAGGCCTAGGACTGGGGAGATGGCGCGCGTGCCCACAGAGAGCACTCTGAGTGCCGCCTCTGGCACTCGTGCCATAGGTTCGCCACCACTGTCCTAGGACAAGGTTCATACCAATTATTACCGTGATAATATTATCTTAGGATTTTTAAAGTTATTGAGCTATACCAGTGATGGCGAACCTTTTAGAGACCGAGTGCCCAAACTGCAACCCAAAACCCACTTATGCATTGTCAGGTGGCGGGTGGGTGTGGCCCGTTGGGTGGGCATGCCTGTGGTGGTAACGGCAGACTGTGTGGGACTAAAAAGTTCAGTCAATCAATTCCAACTTTGCAAGATCTTTTTTTTTGCCCGCAAGAGAAGTTGAAATTGACTGATTGATTGAACCTCTTTTTTTTTTTTTGCACACGGCAGCGGAGGCCTAAAGCGAAAAGGTTTTATAAAACCCAGCTGAAGGCCTAGGACTGGGGCGACGGCGCGTGCCCACAAAGAGGGCTCTGAGTGCCGCCTCTGGCACCCGTGCCATAGGTTCGCCACCACTGAGCTATACTGACTCTTAATAAATTCCAACAAATATTCAAGTGGTTTTCTTAATTAGAGCAAAATCTGCTGCACTCAGAATTATAGGAAAGTGACAACTGAAAAGAGTTTAGTTTATACACACTGAGCATACAAAGATGAAATATTTTGAAAGAAAACTAAATTTTATATCATAGTTCAATAATCATTTTATACTATATCCTTTTCTATCAATTCTCTTTGTGTGGCTGTGCATATATTTGTAATCATTCAGTTATTGCTGAATATCATGTTCAAAGACCTATGAAACTGTAAATATGTATTACATTTTGAAACAAAGCAAGTGAATATTGCCTTATATTTACTTTGGATGAGAATGTGGTAGTGATTACATTGCTGTGGTACAAATTAGTTTGGCATAACATTTATTTTGTATTCATTTCACACAAATACAAATTCAGTCTATGGAATAGTGATCAATTTCATTATGTATGAGATAGCTGGAAAGGTTTCTGCTTTTAGGTAAGGAGGTTAGATGTCTTGATTAGGATTTTTGTTTGTTTACTATGAGGATCTAAGAAATGAAGTGTGTAAAACAAGCTTTAAATCTCTTAAGTACAAACAGGCATTCTAGAATTTTTGATCCTATTGGGGACAGACTGACATATGTCACCCATTTTCCATGAAATAATTTATGAAAACGTCCAAAAAAAGGAAAGGTCCCTTTTTAATATTAAATTACTGGATAGAATTTAAAGTTTGTTGTGCACCTGTTGTGATTCCGTGCCAGCCTGTGTTCCCAACAGCTGAGTCTGAGGAATCTGAGGAGGAAGTGGAGGAGGCCGTTGAGGGGCCATCAGGGTCAGAGGGAGGCTCTGATGAATTACAAGACTCACGGCTTGATGAAGAGCCTGGCCCCTCCAGTCGTGTTTCTGATGAAGCTCAGCTGTGTGAGGAGCAGGAGTCAGATTCGGAAGGCTCACACCTGGATGAGCTAATTGATGCTCGCAGACGTCGTCAAGTAGCTAGAAAAAAACAACAACAGTCTATGTGACTACTCCAAAGTAAAAGGAGAAGGCAATGAGAGGCAACGCCCTGGGACTGCTGTATAAAAAAGGGGAGGTGTGGGCGTTGCTGGTTGCTGAAGGCAACCGTTTGCAAAGTGCTTCTTGGAATCCTGGTCTGTTCGAGAACAAACGTTGCACAAGGACACCTGATAAAGGAAGGAAACCTGAACTCCAAACGACAAACACAAAACCTGAATAACTGTCCTAACAGTGGGTTTATTTTCCCTAAAACAAAACAAAATTAGTTTCCAGCCTATTGTATCAGCAGGGGTTTGGTCCTTGTGCCTCTAACAAGGATGGCAATAGGCTGGGATAGAACAGCACCAGGATATAGTATTTTTTATTTATAGACATTTCAAGTCCATGTTTTATTAATAAAAACAAACTAGAAGCAAGGTACAATTCAGTAAAGCTGTTTAACTATAGGGCAAAATAATGTTAAAACAACATAGTAGTAACCCTATTAAAAGCTTTTAAATAAAATAGGTAGAAGCCTATTAAAAAGTACACTAAAACATTAGACAACAGACCAGAAAGCCACATTAACACCATTTTTAAAACTACAATTATATTTTACTAAGCAGTACCTATTTAGCCAATTTCTCAAACAGATCTTCAGTAATAAATAGCATAAAATGCAATGGAACTAAAATTAGCCATATATTTGACTGTAATTTGTGGTTTCACCTTACAAAGAGTACTATTAAAATATGTTCATTTTTTTACCACTATGTATTGAGACGTTTTAGCTTTCTGTCTGTTACCTACATATTTAGTTTTGTCCCCTCTATACGTAGCCCTCGACTTAACAACCACAGTTGAGCCCAAAATTTCCACTGGTAAGCAAGACAGTTGTGAAGTGAGTTTTGCACCATTTTACAAACTTTCTTGCCACGGTTGTTAAGCGAATCACTGCAGTTGTTAAGTTAGTAACATGGTTGTTAAATGAATCTGGCATCTCCATTGACTTTGCTTGTCAGAAAGTCGCAAAATGTGATCACGGCCCCAGGACATTGCAAGTACCAAACATGCTAGTTGCCAAACATCCAAATTTTGATCACATAACCCTGAGGATGCTGCAGTGGTAAAAACTGTAAAAAAAACAGTCATAAGTCACTTTTTTCGGCGCCGCTACAACTATGAATAGTCACTAAACAAATAGTTGTAAGTCAAGGACTACCAGTATGTGTTTTATTATTCGTATATAAGTACCCCACAGAGTTTTTTTGGTTTCCCTCATTACTATAATAACTATAGTAATGTCTCCCAATTCAATATAAGTAGCTTAATTCTTTCAGTAAATGGAAAATGATTAGCCCGAGGCTTCAATTTTCTGCGTTAAACATAATCAGTTGAAGTACAAAACTGATTATGTTTCATATTGTGAACTATTTTGGTGCTACATGTAGTCCTCAAAATATGACCATAATGGAGAGGCATCTGCTCTCCCCAATGAATAGTTAAATGAACATGCAGGTTGTTAAGAGGATCATGGGGTGCCCCAAAAGTGGGGGAGGCCATTGGAGGCCTAGGTGCTAGGTGCCTTGATGCTCTCAAAGTTGTCCTCACTCCCCCCAACATACCCCATGCTCCCTGCCCCTTGGGTCCCCACAGGCCTTTTCCCTCTCCCACTGGGTTCCCCCAAGTCTTAGGTCTCATCCCCATTTCACCAAGCCAAACACTTGGGTTGCCGCAGCATAGACCAGGAACACATGGCCTGCCCTCCTTCTTACCTCAATAAGTAATTGGCTGGCAAAGGTTGTTATTAAGATTGCCTATACCAGGGGCAGGCAACCTCGGCTCTTTTATGACTCATGGACTTCAACTCCCAGAATTCCTGAGTCAGCTATGCTGACTCAGGAATTCTGGGAGTTGAAGTCCATGAGTCATAAAAGAGCCGAGGTTGCCTACCCCTGGCCTAGACTGTTATATAAAATCATGTTGTTTAAAAGTAATTGAACTATCAATCAACTCCAAACGAACAAATTTTCCCCCATGCTAGTAATTCCCCCTGCTAGTAACAGCGGGATGATACTTCATCTAAACTGGAAATCTGTGTAATTCTAGTAAAAGTCCTTCAAACTTACAGCATTCCTTCCACATGTATCTTTTCTTTTATTCTAGACCTATTATTTCTTTTATGTTTTTACGGTTAGTTTTATGTTTAGGTCTATGGGCTTTTTCAAATGCACTCTGGAATCCTGTTTTGATCTTGAAACACTTCCAAAATGATTAAAACAGTATTTTGTAAGTTCCTATAGAATAAACTTTCATTTCCTTTTCATGAACTACTGATTTCGATGAGAAAGAAGAATGAAATTCTTGTAAATTAAAGCAGAAGAATTACTAACAAACCTTTTGACAAATTTAATCTGCCTAGTATGTTCTTAAATTAATGACTGACACACAGCCAACCTTGCAATTATCGAATGTAATATTGCCTGCTCTCCTTGAAGGGATCTTTATATGACACAAGTGACCAGATAGGGATTAATTACAATGCAGTTGAAAGAGTTACCGTATCTTATTAAGCAAAAGAAAAAGCAATGAGAGCTATAATGCCTAAACAAACTAATCCTCTTAAGTCTCAAAAGACATGAAATAATGTCTCTTTTCCATCGATTCTCTCAGTGATGTTTTCCATTGTCACGAATATTTAAATCTTCTGATAAAGCAGGACTTTGTCTGTTGGATCTAGTATACCTAAAATCTGCCAGTTGCCTTTTTGAAAATACTTTTTGAACTGTATCAGTTTAGGAAAACAATTCATACAGATGATGATGATGATGATGATGATGATGATGATAAAGTTGGAAGGGACCTTGGAGGTCATCTAGTCCAACCCCCTGCTCAGGCAGGAAACCCTATACCATTTCGGACAAATGGCTGTCCAGTTTCTTCTTAAAAACTTCCAGTGTTGGCGCAGTCACCGCTTCTGGAGGCAGGTTGTTCCACTTGTTAATTGTTCTGACTGTCAGGAAGTTTCTCCTTAGTTCTAGGTTGCTTCTCTCCTTGCTTAGTTTCCACCCGTTGCTTCTTGTCCTGCCTTCAGGCGCCTTGGAGAATAGCCTGACTCCCTCTTCTTTGTGGCAACCCCTGAGATATTGGAACACTGCTATCATGTCCCCCCTCGTCCTTCTCTTTGTTAAACTAGACATACCCAGCAACCGTTCCTTATATGCTTTAGCCTCCAGTCCCCTAATCATCTTTGTTGCTCTTCTCTGTACTCTTTCTAGAGGCACAATACATCAATGTGGTTTTTCTTAATATATTTATTGAAGTCCTACAAATGGAAACTATCTTTTAATTTTTAAGATCTAGCAGAAAATTCAAAGTACTATGTTCTGTTTCCCCTTATTTTATATGTATATTGTTCTTATTCATTTGGATAAAGAATTGATTTAGCTATTTTGTCCAATCATAGTTTAGAACTCAAAATATATTTTTGTTTCTAAGTACACAGTACTTAGAAACCTGCAGTGTAGAATCCAGTAACGTTTTTTCTGTATTTCATCAATTTAGTAATTCCTATCCTTAGGTATTTAATCTCTAGCATTAGAGATCTATTTCAGTAGAAATACCTGTATTATTTATCAAGGGAAAGTTATTGTTTGAACAAACAGAACATTAAAATTCATTTAAATCCATAATCCCAATTCTGGTTTGTCAATCGCAAACCTGGTTTTAAGGTTTGTGATTGCAAGGGTAATATAGAAAGTAAGGAAGATGACCTTGACAGATCCTTTACCAAAGTGACAAGGAGAAACGAGCAGAAAGTGTGCATAAGCAGCTCTGTCAAAACATCTACCTAATTCAGGTGGGTATAAGAAAGGGAAGAGGCATACCACAAGCAAACTTGCACAGTTCTGTTGTTATAGCCACTGGGGCTTTGCACAGTGGTGATGGTATGGCTGGCCACAGTGCGGGGATTGAGGTGGCATTTTTCAGTGATAACAGCACTGGGGCTGAAGTAGAGGCTTGACATCTTCAGCAGTCTCAAGACAGTTGCCGCCACCACCAGGCCTCTATTTCAGTCCCAGCACCAGTTCTGCTGCCATTGTGTGCCACTATGCAGGGTGGCCCAAAGGCATAGATGGGGGGGGGGGAGATAACCAGGCAGAGGAGTTGCAGAGCCCCTGAAGTTTTAAGTGCTACTGGGCTGGATGGGGCATCTGAGACTTCCTGGGGCATGGCAGCTTTGCGTCACACTGCTGCGCCCCTTAGCCAATTCACATATGGCCTATGCCAGGCTTCCCAGGGCCTCCGCAACATCCCTGTAGCATTCCCCATGCTTCTTACCTGGAACTCCCTCTATTTCATAACCCACGATTCTCCGTTAACAGCAGCTGGGCATACTGGGATCGTGGTCACTAAGTGAATGCAGTCATGTGATGTCTCAGTTTATGATCTCATGGTGATGGAAATCCCGGTTCCGATTGTGGCTGTAAATCAAGGGTTACTATACAAATATTGAATTCACAACTAGCAAAAACCACTGTTGAAACTACTAATATTTTTTCTCCATACAAATTCTTTTCTATTGTTGGTCTATTGTGTATTTTAGTTACTTGGCACTGTCATAAAATAAAAAGAGCGGTGAAGAACTCCTTAATTATAAGGGTGGAAGGAAACTGTATTTTTCAAATACGTTTTAGCAATGAAAGTAGCAGTTATAAAGAAAACTGATTCTCTTGTTGAACACATAACATAGAATTGTAGGGCTAGAAGAAGCCTCAGAGGTCTTCTAGTCTAATCCCCTGTTCAAGGCAGGAGACTTTATACCATCCCAGTCAAATGATTGTCCGGTGGTTGTTTTTTTGAAAACCTTTGGTGATGGAGCACCCACAACGCAGGGAGGCAAGCTGTTCCATTGATTAATTGTTCTTATTTCTAGGTTGGATCTCTCTTTAACAAGCTTCCACCTATTATCGTACTTCTTGTCCTGCCCTCTGGTGCTAAGTTAGGGGAGAAGAGACACTGTTGGGGAGTTCATGACCTTCTGCCAATAAAACAGGGGGGGGATTAACAAGACAAGCCATCCGATCTGTCTACATCGAGGAAGTTAACAAGTAGTATTGTTAAATCGGAGGTCTGGGAAATAGTAGAAACAACCAGAAGAGATGTGTAAAAGATCCCAGAGGCGTAGTAAAAACATACGTGGTGACCAGCACTATATGCAGTATTCTAAGTGTGGCCTCACTACTTGATAGTAACAAAGGTGATCTGCAAATCAATTTGACAAAATTAATCAACGTGGGTTGCTTGTGCTGAATTCCTCCAGGCTAAACTAAGATAGGCATTCAGCACACAGCTGGACACTTTTTTTTTTTCCCCCTTAGGTTCCATGATGTCCAGCCCCAATAGGCTCCTGCTCCGATGTAGTGCCCCAGCATGTGCCATCATGGTGATGACATAAATCACCAAGAATCCTGCTGGAGCATGGAGCCAGGCTGCAAGGGGTCAGGTAAGTGCCTGTCAAATTGCATTGCCCAAGCATACAACTTCTTTGTTGTTTTCTTCCTTTCATCTTTTATTTGGCATTGGAACTTGAGGCCCAGGAAACGTAATAATATTTTTGAGTGCTTTTGGATATTTTAGCCTGGAAAATGGAGATATTCAGCACATATGTTTAGAATTCATTACATTTTGTCAAAATGGCTTGCAGGTCATCTTTAATTTATAAAAAATTATAAAACTTCACCAATGAATGCCATATTTTCTCATGTTATCTACTTTACCTATTTCTTAAGTATTTTAAGTATCCAGAAGTATGTGGATAATAGATGATTGAGTAACTATTGACAATTTAGTATCTGAAACGTAAAAGTTATTCATCTGCCCTTGTGTTCTATCTCTCTAAATAGCCTGTATTTATGTATTTTATGAGGGATGTACAACTAGGATAGGATATGTTGCTAGGAATTTTGTTTCCTTGACTTACACATCCTGAAGCAGAGTTATTCCGGGAAAGTTCTACAGGCAGTTTTCGCTTAACAATACTGCAATCTCTAAGTGGGAAAAGCAATCTGTAAGTGGGAAATCAGTGATTGTGACTATGCTTTCTGGCTGGAAAGAGACAAGATAAATCAGTTTAATTTCTTCTTTTTGTCTCCTTACCACTCCCCTGCCCTTTGGAAAGCTCAAGTGCCTGCTTGAGGGCTGGTAGTGGCAGGTGCAGTACACAAATAACTTACACATTTGCAATTCCTTTCTCTCCAGTCTCTTTGCTCTGGGGGAGGAGGGGGGAAGCAATTCCTGTAGAAAATCTTGTTTACCTGACCCTTTCCCACTGCCAGCGTGATTGCATTGTTTTTGATGTGTAAAAGATGAAACAGTTTACTCTGTTAAAATCTCTTCCTCTTCAGTTTCTCTGCTCCAAGAGGTTGTGGGGTGAAAGCCCCATGAGCGCTAGGGGGCAGTGTATAAGTCTAAATGCTATTGCCATTGCCATGCTATGAGGGGCAATGTCAGGCAAATCAAAGATTGCCTAAAGAAATTGCTTGCTTTTTTTCTCCCCAAACCTCTCTCACAGACTGGAGAGATTGGACAGAAAGAGATGTGAAGATAGTACTATAAGAGAGATTGGAGAGAAGGAGATTTCAAGGGAATATCGTAGGTTGTTTGCACAGCACACCTATGACTCCTAGCCCTGTACTGCTGGTATGATCGCATTGCTTTTAACTGCAAAAGAGCATATACTTTATTTTCTTATAATTCCTTTCTTTCCAATCACTCTGCTCTGCAGAGGAAAAAGAAAGAAAAAAAACACAGGACAGGCATAGGACATCGTATACTGATTATAATGGCTATCATGTGACTTAGGGACACCAAAAAGGTGGTAAATATTTGTAAATGGTTGTAAAGCTGAATGAATGATCAGTGTGGACTACCTGTACTTTCCTTATCAGTAGTTGGAAATGTCATCCTAATGTGAAGCATAATTTCCGATGAAGGAGAAATTGTTCAGCAAATCTATACAACTATCCATGTCACTGAATGTGACTTTGTGCAGTGGACAACCAACAGCCATTAAAACAATATAACGGCAATTAAAATAAACATATCAGAAGCCAAGATTGCAGTAGAATAATAATACAGCCATGACTAAATGTCCAACTGTGACTAGAGCCTTGTGGTCTAGGAAGAGGCATAACTGGTGTATAACACAAGGCTATACAAGGATCCCCCTAGCCATGACCGAGCAGGAACCTTGAATCTAGAAGACTCCCAGATTATGCACCAAGTCTGACTGGGGTAGCATCATCCCTTCCAGTACAAAAAATGGTAAAGTCCTAGATCCATAAAGTCCCAAAATGCAGATTCACTCAGTCTTGCCAAGGTTCTACCAAAGCCTATTGTTCTCCATACCAATGCTATCACACCCTAGGGTTACCTCACCTAGCAGCTTCAGTTGATGTCAAATACTCCAGGAATGGAAAGAGTAATGAACCCTATGGAACCCCACATTCCAGTCCTGTATAAAGCACAATATTGTGCCATCTACTTTCACTTCATGGAGCCAATTCAGAAGGATATCATGGTTGCTGATACTGAAAGCAGCTGAGAGATCAAGTAGAACAAGAACATATACACCACCCTTGTACCGCTCCCACCAGGGATCATCCAAAAGTGCAAGCAATGCTGTTTCCATCCCATGCCTGAATCCTGATTGAAAGGAGTCCAGATAATTCACTTCATCCAAGGTTGTAGCTAAGGGTTCAACTTTTGGGGTCTTAGTGTTCTTTGAACTTGATTGTTTCCTTGCAGACATTTCATTACCGGATTAGGTAATATCATCAGTACTTGTACCGGACTAGGTAATATCATCAGTACTTGAAAGAGTGCAGTTTGTTAACTATTTGTATAACTTGCCCTGTCAGTCATTCCATTCCATTCCATTTTTTTATTTTTTATTTAAATTTTATTTTATTTTTTAAATTTCTTTACCACTTATCTCACTGATGAAATGACTCTGGGCAGCTTGGTTGTTCATAATTATTTGATTAGGATATTATTTCTACATTGATTGTTTATCTATTGCTTTTTCCTGCTTATCTGTGTTGCCTGTTAGGAAGGCTGTACTTTCAGCTGTTTGTTTCCTTGAATTTTGATTGTATTTTTTTTAAAGTATGTAGATTGGGGGGTGCTATATGTCTGTTGATGACTGATTTGTTTGAATGCCAAGCTTTTAGAAATTCCCTAGCATTTTTGGATTTAGCTTGGTGTCAAATGTCGATAGTTTCCTAGTTAAAACTGTGGTTGAATTTCTTTTTGTTTTGAAAGATTAATGAATTTTCATCATCAGAAATAATAGTATAATGAGCTACAGGTTGATCTGGACTTCTAAAATTGACTTTGTATAATTCATTATTTAGTTACTGAATATCCTTTTGGTATTTTGAGAATTAATATTTTGAGAATGAAGAGCAACATCCTCCATAATATTTACCATTCAAAATATTTATTGCTAAGTTCACATTCTGTGTCAAATTATGCTTTCGAAACTATGATTATTAAACAAGCCACAATTGGATTACAGTATTATAATACTGAACCATATTATTTCCAATTGTTTCTGCATCCCCAGTACATTTAGGCTGAGGGTGTATACTCCAGGTGATTCAGTTAAATGCTTCCATCTTGTAGACTGAGGAAACATGCCTTTTGTGTCATGCCCCTATCCTCTGGAGCAGCATCCAAAAGATATATGGACAGCACCCAAAAAAACCTTAAGACCTGGCTTTGTTTCTAAACCTCGAGTTAATATGGTTGTTAACTATTGGTGAGACTCCTGTCATATTTTTGTACTGTTTGTTTTTCTAGTTGTTTTAGTCCAAGCTGCCTGTTTATTAACTGTTTTGTTTTACTGGTTTTGGGGAGGGGGGGAGATTCTGTAAACTGCGCAAAGTACTCTGGATTGAGTGGCCATACTAAAATTAAATTAAAAATTAAATTTGGCACAGTGCTTAAGGGAAGAGCCAAGTTTTGGGGGCTTTTCTAAATGCCAGCATGGTCAGCACTGTCCAAATCTTGGGAGCAGATACGCTGTTCCACTAGTCCAGGGGTAGGCAACCTTGGCTCTTTTATGACTCGTGGACTTCAACTCCTAGAATTCCTGAGCCAGCATGGCTCAGCTTGGAAACTCTCCCTTTCCCCTCAGCATGGCTGGCTCAGGAATTCTGGGAGTTGAAGTCCACGAGTCATAAAAGAGCCAAGGCTGCCTACCTCTGCACTAGGCAGACTCAGCCACACAGAAATCACATGTCCCGAAGATGTCTCTGTTTAATAGACAGGACTTGAAATATGCTAACCCTGTCTGACTTTTTAGGGTGGGTAAAAATAATTGGAGATAGATGGTCTCTCAAATATTCTGTTTCAGAGCCATGAAGGGTTTTCAAGGTGTTGGCAAGCAACACTTTGAACTGAATTCAGAAGCCACCAGTAAAAAGTGCAGCTCACAAAGTAGCACTGTTACATGGGTGTACCAGGGTGGATCCATAATTATGCACACTGCTGCATTCTGGACCAGTTGCAGTTTTTGGATGATTTCCATGTACAGAATAATTCAAATGAGGGCTCGCCAAGGAATGAGCGCCTGTAGCAGGGCTGCCTGATCCAGATGAATTTGTACAAAGATCCTCCTAGCCATGGTTGCCTCCTGTTCCTCAAGCACGACTTCAAGTCCAAGAGGACCCCCCACATTACACACCAGTTCTGCCTGGGGTAGTGTATCTCCATCCATAACTAGAGTGGAAGAGCTAGCCATTATTATACTAGTTAGGTCACCAAGAGTCGAAATAGGTAATATCATCAGAATTCTGATGATGCCTTATCCTGTGTGATTCTCAGGATAGCATTCTTCAGGGCTTATGTAGATATTAAATAGGAGACATGATCTCTAACAGTTAAGGGCAGAGGGAAAATATTAGTAGTATGGTTATATACATTATTGGCATCTAATTAATCCTTGAGAGGAAGCAGAATGTTTTTTTTTAAATATTTTTTTTGAAAGTACAAATAATAACTATTAAAAAGCAAAGAGTACACATTTTATTTCAAATTGTTCAAGAGAAAATAGTAAAGAAAGTCTTCATAATATGAACTAAAAAGAAAAATGAAGTACTGAGCAACTTTTAGCTCTTGAAAAAAGAAAACCTCTAGAACAGGAGACCAATAGGGGTTTGGCAGCAGGTTCAAATGGTAACTCTAGGTTGTTTGAGCAATCATATTTGAATAGTGGTATGAACTGTTATAACTGAACTTAGTCACAGGTAGAATATCAGGCCAGTTGTTTGGTGATAGTTAACATAACAATCAAAATACTGCTCTAAAATAGTGCATGTCTTCTCTATTTCTTAATTCAGCTGCAGATAGTACAGAACAGACAGAACTTCAACTTTACAGTTGACCTACAGTTTTCTGAAAATGTACTCTAAGTAGAGTGCCTCTGT